CTTCGTTTTTCCGAGGCTTTATTGTAGGTCTTTCAGAGAAATACCAGAAGCTTATTTGTGATAATTGAAAATTCCCTTTGTTGGAGCGTTCTATTGTCTTGCTGTTAACGAATTTACATTTCGTCAAACCAACGAGTAATAGGATAGTGTATAAAATATTTATTAGAGGATATATTTATTAAAGTTTTCAGAGAGGTAAGTAATATTAACGTTGTATATACCCATAAATACTAAGAACTAAGAGTAAATTTACATTGAAACAAGATGAAGTATCTTACAACCGTCCGAAATTGCCTCTCATTCTTTCCATTAACCCTTCCTCAAATTCTGTTTACGCAGTTTTCTTTGCCAAACAATACCTAGTTTCATTTGTTTGCCCTACATAGTTTTACCCTTACAATGAACAGTATGAATTCATTCACTGATCTCTTTGTGAAAAACTCGCTCCGCTTCAAAATTATTAAATTCTACAAACATGTGTTTTTATTAGAAGTAACTGCGCAAATCTTATTTGTAGGTAGTAAGTAGGAATTATTACCTTTCTTTATAGATCTGTTACAGTTACGTCCTGGAAATGATAGATAACAAGTTACGATATCAACAACTAACGCATATTAAGTAACATCACCGTTCGTTTTAGGAATAATAAGTAACAGTTCCAAGTAATATAACATTATATTACTGAGGATAACATGTCTATACCTTTTTGTATACCGAATGAAAATCGAAACCAAAGAGAAAATGCTATATACAAACAAATTTTAATTAACAGTTCCAGTTAAATTGTACAAATATAATATTATTCAATTTATAAACTCATTTGTAAACAATCCTTTTATTATTATTTAAACAGGCTTAGGTATCATCAGGAGTTTTAGAAAATATTCATAAACTCGTTTAATATGACTTTTTACGAGATTGAAAATTAAAAAAACAACCCTAAAAACTTGCAGGTCTATATAAACAACGCAGTGGTGTTGCTAAGCTGGTCAACCTCCCTTGACATCGTATATTTATTGCCCGACCTAGTGTGATTCCCTGCCGGCCATTCTACACCACGCCACCTGTTATCTAAATGGCTTAGCCCATTACCGCTCTTGAATCTACATTGTATCTACTTACAAAATATCTTTCCAAAACTCGTTTGAGTGTTTTTGATCAATATGTTGTATCGTATTATAAAATTCACTTAGTAAATATAATCCCAATAAATGTCCGCAAGCAACGTGTTATAAAAATAATCGTTTGCAAATAATTAGTTCAGCTGTTCAAATGCAAGCAAACTATGTTATATATATTTATAAATTTTTTTTAGTGTACCCTGAATGATATGATTAAGTGCTAATAATTAGTTGGCTTTGTTATGAACGTTTCATGAAAGATATCGAAATAAAAATAGCATTGCGTAAACAATACATTGCACTTTTATATTTGACACCTCTCTGTGTGACTGATGTACATTAAAAATTAACCTTTTATACCTCTAAGAATTTATCAAAGACAATATATATTCATTGGTGAAAAGCCTGATATATGAACCTCATAAATATCATAAGATTATAGTTATTAAATAAATATAACAGTTTGTGATGTACAATATTCTGTCTTGTTTTGGTGACTGAATAGCAAAATGAAAACAATGTGTGTAAACAGACATCGGTCATAAAAATGTTTATCCTGGTGCTGGGAATATTTAAAAACAAACATATATTATCTATTAAATATAAGTTTTACCGAATGTAAAACTATTGGTAAGACAATAAATATGGACTAATGGAACCCTAACTTAGAGAAGGTGAACTTAGAATAGCAATATTTCTGTTCTATGAATTATTTCACTCCTTAAGAATTTTTTTAAAAGATAAATCTTTTATATTCTGTTATTTTTATAATAGATTTTAAATTTTTAATAGGTGTCTTACAGAAATAAACGACGTAAGGTTTTAGATTATTAATCGTTTCCAAAGTTCATTGTTTAAACAGACAACATGCCTCAAGAAGTTTACAGAACTAGACGGTTGTTCCAGAACTAATTCCAAGAGTCGTTGATGTGCAATCAGCCATGAATCATCAGCCTTGACTTCTGTGTTACTCTTTATTTTCACCGGTAGATATTTTACAACAAACGGATAACGATACTTTGTACAACCTAACTCGGATTATAATTTTATCCATATGTAGACTAGATAGTTTCTATCCAATTATGATTTACAAACCTCAATCTGCAAATTTATGTTTTAATAAAATATATGACAATTCATTTTTTTTTATTACAGAATAGCTTTTGTCTACTGAATTATAAATCCCTTTTCAAATTAAATAAATAATTCAATTGTTAAGATCCCAGTGTATTTTCTTGTTGCCTTTAGGATTTGTGTTGCCACCGTAATTTTTACCAAAATAATCTAAAACAGTGTTGAATAATTTATTTGAGCCATAATTAGGTTTATCAATAAGCGCTTGCATTAAATTTACTAACTGTATGGTTTGAGTAAAAAAATGTTCGCTAAACTTTGATACATTACATAGGTCAGACCCGCAGACCTTTTAAGAAAGATTTTTCTGAATTTTTACTTTGAACCAAAACATGCAAAACAAAAATTCAAGTTTGCCAAAAATTTAGTATTTAACAATGAATGAAATTTAACTTAGTAGTCAAAACTAATCAACAGTAGTTCGACTTAAAAATTGTGGGCGTCAAGGTAAGTAACCTACGATTCCGGAGGCCTTAACATGAATAAATTAACAAATTTGTTACACTGTTAGTTACAGTAACACATCGACTAAGCCTTTACAACAACAATAACCTAAGTAACAATAAGCCTTTCTTTTACTAGGGCCCATTAATAAAAAAACCAATGAACAACGACAACCAAGTCAAATTTTAAGCCACCAAAATGACTTTTCTTTGGCCCGGACTGACTATCTTGTAATTACCAGGCCAGCATCATATCCACTCACCTACTAAGCTGTATTTTCTTTATATATCAACAATCTGGCCTCGTTCTCTGTTCAATACCGCACTAAACCTTGAATGTTGCGTTCTCTAAAATTGAGGATGAATACAAACAATGATAAATTTTTGCGAGTAAGTTATGATCATTCGTTATACGTAATGGTATTTTATAATGTATTATGGATTATGAGGCTACGATGCTATATTATTCCTTAGGGGATGATCAAATAACTGAGTAAATTGTTTTTATTCATACATAGATGATTAACAAATTCCACTCACGTGCATTTTCCATCTCCGGTTTGAAACACGTTTTGAGTGATGCTGTTCAGTTCAGTAAGCATTATGATTTCCTTTATGTTAAAATAAGCTTTAATTTTGTATAAATGCATAGTTCACTCTATTTGGACTTTTGTCAGTATTTTACTTTTAGTGTATTCTTAAGACAATAAATAATGAATTTAAACTGACTTTTAACAAATTAATATTTACTTATGATGTTAAAATATAATTGATTTGTGTCACTTTAGCTTAATTTTATTTTTTACATGTCTAGCACCGAACAGAAGAAAAAAAAAATTTACACTACTTCTTTGTAACTATTTAAATTTCTAAAACTAACAAAGAGGATGGCACACAGTATTTTTATTAAAATCTTTGTAGAACAGCGCACACTTATGTCAGTTTGAATAAAAATATAAAACAGAATCACCATTTGCGCAAAGAAAGAATATCAGACCATAGAACATAAAGTGAGTAAGATCATTTGCTTTACACGGACCATGTCTTGTATCAGGTCAGTATAAGAGGCAGCTTTACACTTGGAACTAAATGTTTACACGTTAGGTCTCACACACTTAACTATAAATGGTCTGAAGTATTCAGTAAAAATAATAATTAATAGTTCCACTTATGCACTAGGAAATTTTACAACTAGTTTCTAGTGCCTTCTAGCTTGTTGCTATAACAAAGTTTTTTTTGGTGTTGTTTGCAAATAACGACTACCTACGATTGTAATCATTGAAAACGCAAGAAATAACAGTAAATGGTGGTAACTGAGTTAAGTACCAAGTCGTGTATTTGGGACAAAGTGTTTGTTTGTTTGGTGACCAATGTTCAGCTAGCTTGTGTATGATCTATATAGATAGTGTATAGTAAATAATTGATAAATTTTGTTGTACATTTACGCAGCGAGTAGTCATCACAGGCGGCTACCTACTAAGTAAATACAGAAAGCTAAATATTGACTGTGCATTGAACTATTGTCAATAGAAATTCCCACTATTTCAAAGTTCTGTTTATACAGGAGGACGAAAAAGTCTAGAAACGGGTATATTTTTAACTAAATCCGTTAGAAAATTCAAACCTTTCACATAAGCTATATTATAAGTATGAAAACTACTTTTTGAAAGCATTACCGTTTTTGAGCTATATTATGTAGGTGCATAATCTGTAATGTAAGCATTTGGTAATAGTGTAGGTTTAAATATACGGTTTTCATAGCCAAAACAGTTTTGTTTTAGCCTAATGTTCAAGAAAGGCTCCTGTTTTAAATCATCAAAACGTCATCTAAGGTACTGAATTTTCTGATAAATTTACCTGCAACTACTTGCCACGATCACCTCTCTCGCTGCATGGTTATTATTAACACATTTTCACACAGGTTCTTAGTGTGCTTAAGAATGAGTGTTCATTTTTAAATACTCCGTGTCTTATAGCTTATCCATAAATTAAAATAAGGCATGTTTTTACAATCTTGTAAACACTCGGTTTGTCTCCATGCATAATGGTCTCATTGTAAATTAGACTATGTCACTAACTATGTAATAGCTGCCCGTAACAAGTGCTGTACTAAGTCACATGTAAAATAGATTTTTTACATGTTCCTAAAGGGTTACATATCAACGATCATTCGACTGAAATAAACTTACAGTAAGATTTTAGACCCCTTTGTTTTGAACATGAGTAATACTTTGTACCGGTACATATATGTTTGTTCTATTGGTACTAAAGGACGAATAAAAACCCTTTGTGGAATGCATAGTAGTGATTTGTTAGTAACCATCAGACATCCTGCAGTATCCTCCGTCTAGTTTGACGTCTAGCCAGTGTAAATAGTGAGTCAACCTAGTGTAGAGACCTGGCTTGCCAGGACTGCCGCACTTTACTCCAAAAGACACAATGCCTGTGTGGAAATACATGATAATGGGTTATGCTATATGAAAAAACCTGTCATAACTAAGGTTGTTTTAGTGAGTTGCAAGTCAGACTTCGTGAGAGAATAATTTAGCAAACCGTATTTCAAGGGCTCATAAACATGTATCAAGACAATATTAAATAAAATAAGTATTACTAGTTACCATAAATTTTCTTGTCCAAGCAAACATTTATGGACCACCAAATTTGATAAGTAACTCTAAAAAGCATTTCATTGCATTTACACATAATTTGGTTATTTAAATATAAACTTTTTAGTTCAATAGTACTAAAATAACTTTATAATATTGTATTTTTAATGGTACAACAGAGTATGCCTACCTATTTGGATTGTTATTTCATCATCCTTCTTTACGTACAGGGGTCCCCCGCTGTCTCCCTGTACATACAAATATTACATCATGTTGGTGTAAGTACAGTCAGAAGAATTGTAAAACCTTCGATAATTTTATAGGCCATACTTACTCCTGAAAGCTAATTATTGTAGTGTAAAACATTTATGTCATTTATGTTTCTTTCTAGTTTATTAAAGACATTTACTTCCTTCAGTTAGAAAGCATGGCTTAACAATTAAATTTTTTTTATAAAGTTCCGTTAGGACTAATTGACGGTTCTTATTTATTGTATTTACTAGCCTGGCAGGCATCCGAGCCCAGCTTGTAGGCACACAAGGCCACACTGTGCATATCAGTGACGTCACTCAGAGTTGGGCCAAGGCCAGACTTGTCACACTGTGTGGATGTCAGTAGTGACAACACTGTAACTCTAGGCATTCGTGAGGGATTGCCTCTATACTCAGTCTGTCCCCACCCTGCCACTGCAGCCGCCTTGTAATGGGATACATCTGGAAACCAGGTGTAGTAGATAGTTTAACATGTAGATATTAACTAAAATTGGACATGGAAACATTAATGGAATCACTTATGGTCATCATTTTGACGACTAGAAGATTCAGTCACTAGTTGTGGTCATCACAGATACCAACATCATCACTGGTTCATTGACCTCACCCTTCGCGGTTTCAAAAATATAATTTGTAGATGCATACTATTTGAAATGAACTGTATTTTTATAATTTATCTTATTTATTACTATTTTTATAATTAGGAAATGAAGTTTGTCCAAATTCACAACATGTAGAGTTCGTCACGTTATTTACTGTTTATTTCGGAACTAAAACAAAAAAAAAACATTTGTTATAGAATAACTTGAAATTTTACCAGCTCGTTTTCCAAAGGAGAGGATAGTCAAATCAATGACTGTTTTAACCGTCAAATTTTTGTATGGATCATATCATCTGTAAACGTAAATGGAGGTGTCTTTTGTGTAAAAGCTATCTGATGGCACTTACTGTTGAATCAATTTACATTACCTGCTGACGATAATGTCTTACATAAAAAACATGTACGTTATCTAGTTTTACATCATGCTAGTAGCTCAGTGACTAGAAAACCAAATAAAACTTGATGAGATTTTGTAACTAGTCTAAAATAAAATTGAACCATGCAATACACTTACCTATGTTAAAAGGTAAACAAATTGGTTTGATGAACTTGTTAAACTCAATTTTGTCAACCTTTAACAAAGCAATGTCGTTGAAGAGTATGTTTTCCTTCAAAATTTGAAAACTTTCGTGTGTTATCACTTCTTTGACATCGTATTCTTTCACATGATCGTCAGTATTCATGCGATCATGAACCCCGAGCAAAACCTTTAGTAAGTTTAGTTCACTGGAAGTCAAGTATCATTAGATTTAGAACAATGAACTAATACATGATCTATAAGATTTGGTTATTTTGAGTTAATTATATAATACTTTGTAAGGATTAGTCTTGAAATTGTAAATAATAATAGTTTTATCAATAATTTACCTCAAATAATTTATTCTGAACTGTACTGTATATCATGCTTTGTAAAATAAATTACAAAACAAATAAATATTTTTTTTTGTTTATTCTGTTTAAATATTTTTAAGTTATAGATTCTGAATTAAAGTTGTCGGAAATAAGAAAACAATGAAAATACCCTTAAGCATCTTAACATTTTTTCCTACAAGATGATTATTTCTAGTTAAGTTATATTTATAAAAAAATAATTATTTTAGATTCTATTTTGTTCCGATGTTGTTCTTCAGTAGCAAATAATGAAAATTTGGTAACTTAAAAACATAAGTTTATTACAATAAGTTCTTGAAACCTATAGATTATTTCAAAAGTTATAGTGCTTTATTCCAGACTTTATTTCTTGCATGTGACTTTGAAATTTTAGCTTATATTTACAACAGTGCAAAATAGGCGTTTGTAAGCAACTATAAAATATAGAACACGATTCTAAAAACATTACATTGCTTTAGAACCGGAACAAACAATTTGATTCAAAACTACTAATACAATATTAAAACTAAAGTAGTAGTTACAGTTTCCTGTCATTAGTTTTAAGGCCAATTCTTAATTCAATTCATAAATTATGGACTATTAAAAATTTGCAGGAGAAAATACTTAGGTTTCAACTGAAAATTTAACCTAGCTCTTTAAGGATTCTACTTTAACCCATTTTCAATACAATGCTAGTCAAATATTAACCATTTGTAATCTTATGTGTTATAACATTTGACTATTACTATGTGAATTCAAACCCATTACTAGACCCCCTGTAGGCAGTGAGCGGCAGTCAGCACATGGTTGGGTCCCACGACAGTCCCACCACAAGAGAAGACATCCACGTATGTTATCAGAGCCAGCGACGGATGCCCCATGGGCCGGAGTATGGAGCCACCTTTTATACGCGCAGCTAACTCATCCTCTAGTCCGCAAGCTGAAAACACAACACTGCAAGACATAGACATAAAAATTTTTTGCACAAAACATTTTATACATGTCATAATATTTAGGACAGGTGCATTGTCAACATTAAATTTAAGATTAAGTTGTGTAACATCTTCAAATAGGTAAAAAATCCTTGACAATAAGTAAATTATTTATTGTCTTGTTAAATTTTGTTTTGTTGAATGACTTGTAACATGGTGGAAGCACCAAGATGCATTGGTATATCATTAAAGCCATCTTATTGGAACTATACTTTATTAATACTTATAGTACATATGACATAATCTAGAGTATGGTTAAAACAGTTAAGGGATTATAAATCTTAACATGATTAACTAAAACATGGAGGTTTCTTATAGCTTTCTTTCTTTATATTTCTCGAATAAGATAGAAAAAAACGCAAAACCTTAAGAAATTCTTGTTAACCTATTAATAATCAGTTTACTTATATCTAACATAGCTAACCTATGTTTTATTTTATCTTTTTAAATTGCAATTACTCTGCTGTATGCTCTCCAGGTAATTTATATTTTATTTTTAAATTGTGGTCAAAATCTTCACACATGTATATATTTTTGTTTAAAATTCGCCAAAGCAATATAACCAAGATATGCGTTTTTCATTTACAGATCAATTCCAAAAATTAAAAACAATATTCATAGTTTTTTATACACAACTGTTTGGAATTTTTATTTATAAATATCCCTTCAATAACTCTTCTTATTGCTACTATTTTTTCATCCTGACAACTATTAAATAAGTAATCTAAGTAACGTATCATACACGACTTACTGCAGTTAGAAAGGCCCTCTTTGTAGCCAAGCTGTTGTGAAAACATATATGCACATTTAGTCATACAACTTGAGTTTTAAACCATACTACAACGTAACAAACATACAACAACTAAACGTAGTATCACTAACTAGCTAATAAATAAATTTTACGTTTACATGCAGAATTCACAATAATAAATTACCGAAAGTTTTATGAGGTGGGTGCTATTTATAGCAAACCATGAAAGTAAACTGTTTATTAATTTCCTTAACAACATCACCGTAAAAATCTTCTAGCCACAGATCTACAAATATTCAATTGGAACCTATATCTCAATAGGGAAGCATAAAGACGTTATCACAAAAAAAGTACATCAAGCTTAATGATTAAAACGCACGGTAAATTGCATCATTAAATTTGTTATGAAGATAATCTGTTTCGCCCTCGATTGTTTTAATTCATTCATACGATAAGCGTGTAGATATATCTGTGTCCTATAAAAGATTATTTGTAAACCTACAAAATATGTCAGACATACGTAATAAAATAATCATGATGATATTTTACGATTCAATAGTGTTTCCTGTTACTCTAAATTGTAGGTTTTTGCTTTTCTATGATTAATAGTCGCTTTGTTCTACTCGTATATCACAATCATACTTCGTTAATAAAGCCCTTTAGTTTATTTGCTAAAATTGCGTTTTTAACAACAAATGGATATTGAAGCTTATGTTTTTAGGAAAACTTTTTACTACTAGTGGTCCGGGATAACAATTACGAAATTAAAATGCTATGAGATCAACTGTGACTTTTAAAAGTAAAACATCGACTCCATCAATTAATACGCCTTACCAATTTTCTTAACTTTCAGTAGCTGCTCGGTAAAACGGAAAATTGTCGAGGTATTAAATTGTAATAATGAAATTGATCTGAGTCTTTTGAGGATATGTGGGAATTAATACTAAATTTTAGTCTTTTATCTTTTTCTATGTCCACAACAACTCAGCAAACATGGTTTTCTCGATTCAGATTTTCAATTTATAATCCTTAAAAATAAATGGGGTATGTTTACTACTTTTATTACAAACCAATATGTTCACTATTCTTTGTTAAATTAATTTTTAAAGGTAAACTTTTTTACTAACTTAATAAACTAAACCAATAAAATTATTAGACAATCACTATCATTACATAGTAGAAAAAAAATTCCTAAATAGCATTGTTTGGAATACCTCAACAAATTACGTAGAATATTATTATAGGTTGAAGTTTGTAAGTATAGTAGATAAAGATTATCCACACAACATATGATGCGTTTTAAAATAATCGAATACTAAACTATCCAAATATTGTTCAGTTGAAATTTTAATTGCATTGGTTTTAAAGTAAGGTAACTGTTGTTCTACTACCCTTAAAAATATAAATTTTTAATCAATACAACCAGATTTAAATATTTTTCCAAACAAAAAAATAATGTGTGGTTCAATAAAAATATTTGGCTGTTAGGTTTAAGAATATATTTTTAATTTAAATTTACATGAAAAGGCTTAGTATACATAGCCAGCAGTAATACCTACATAGAAAGTAGACATTTAATAGTCTAGTACCTATTGGGCTGATCAATTATTTATGTACGCAAAAGGATTTACTCAACATTAAAAAGTTTAACTAGCTTGAGTACTACTGAATTGCTTAAAAATCTAGTTACAAGTTTTACACTAAAATAACCCTTTGGAAAATGTTTTACTTATAATGTATTTCATATAGAAACATACAACCCTTTCAGTAAATATAAGAAGTTGACATTTAATTTTATATGTAGGCCTACTCAATGATAATGTTATAAATGTGATAAAATCCGTCAAAACTATCTAACATAAAGCTTTGTTGAAAAGCTAGATTTTTCTTGATATATTTTAAAGGTTTTACACACTTTTTCAAATGTTTTATCTAGTTCGTCTCCACCTAAAGGCTGTAAGAAACTAAATAAAACACACTTTTAGCACAAGCTTAGGAACAAACAATTATGCAACTACAGTTGAGTGTGTTTTGTCGAAGTTAAACCAAACAAACGTTGTTGGTATCAGGGGACTTGCTTGGTTCCAAATGTTCTATTGTTCCCTTCTTGCTTCAGGTATTACATATCAACTAATATTCCAGTTATGGGAAATTATAACATACGCCATTATACTTATGCGCATGAAATTTATACCTTTCTAAATAACATATACGCTTTTTTAAAATGCTTTTTATGCTTTTTTATGTTTTTTTTTTTTTTTTGTATAGGTGGTTAAAATCCTTAACGGACATCTGTTATAGTTTATTTAAGGAATAAAAACAAAATCCGTTGAATAAGTCCATTTTGTAATCATTCAAGAATATTAAGTTACCCATCGCAGAAAACCTGAGTAAATTATATTTTTCTGATGGGATTTCAGGTCGAATATTTTTTTAAACATGTCACATTTGTTCGCTATTTGTACGCCATTAGATTTACGAGTCCTTAGATTTTTGTTCTAAAAGGGTTTATTTGTAAAATGGTTATAGTCGCCTTAAGTATGAAATAAATAAATCTGCCAACATTTAATTAGAATATATCCATAAACTACAACAGTTCATTTCTTCTCTAAAAGAGTTTGTGTTTTATTTGCGTAAACAATTAATTGTAAAACAACGCTTAACTACGCACACAGGATACAATACAAAGGATAATATCTTAAAAATGATTGTAACTATAAGAAAAACTACTTTTTTTAGCTATATTTGACTAAATTTGGTTATTCTAAATAATACTGTGGATTTTGCAACTAACTAAATTTGCCAGAAACAACTCTTCTCTACATTTTTGAAACATAACATACAGGTAAATAAAAGGGGTTTGTATTAACATGTTCTAAGTGCTTATACTGTATGCCCAACACTTAAGATACTAATGTGTGATGCTACAGCAGAGACAGGGTAAAGCCCCAATCAAGTAGGTAAGCCACCAACCTCCGACAGGGGAAGCTACTATACTAAACACAATAGGATCAACCATATGTGGCACGAAGAGAGAGTAATGATGCAATTAGCAAATTGGTAATTCAAATCCAGGTTTTAATGTATGTATTCTTTCCATATTGTGTTTTCATTTCATAATAAATTTTCACTTAACACTAAACGATGAGTCTTTATTATAGTCAGAAGTAACAGTAGTCAAATTGAATTCCACGTCAATACAATAATTGTATAAGACTTTGTAAGTCTTTCAATAAAGTAACAAAATTGACTCGTTTTATCCAATACTATACAGACAGACAAACCTTACCTGTGGTTAATTTGATAAGAACTACCAAATAACGAAACATAACAATACACAAAATACTAAGACGCATTTTTGAATCTAGAAAAGTAGGCAATGATCAATGGCTAGATAAAGTAAAAAATCAAGCTTAATTTTATTGATTGAAACACCACTATAACTTTATTATAACATAACTTTTATATTTGACAGTAAATGCAAAAGTAGAAAAAAAGAAAATAAACAGTATCAGCATTCTGACACATACTTTCTCCCATAAGTTTGTCAACAACCCCATGTGTAAGCGGTGACAGTAAATATACGGAAATGGGATTTGTATAATTTTCTACAGAATTTAAAGGACTATAACATACTAAATTTTTATCAAAATAGTTTGAGCCAATTTTGGGAAAATCTGATTTTCCGTTATTTTATGGGGGTTTTGTGGGAAAATAACATAATCTACAATAACTTTTGAACCGTAATTTTTACAGAAATGGGATCTGTACTATTTTGTTCAGAATATAAAGGACTATAACATACTAAATTTTTATCAAAATCGTTCGGGCCATTTTTGAGAAAATCTGATTTTTCCGGTTTTTTATGGGTTTTTATTGGAAAATCCCCATTAAAAATCAAAATTTCAAAAACATGAAAAAAACGCCTGGAGATACCATGGATGGACCTACATACCAAATTTCATCGAAATCGAACCACAGGTGTAGTCCCTAGCTCTGTACACATCCAGACACACACACACACACACACACACACACACACACACACAAACATCACTTCGAAAACCACTTTTTTGGGTCCAGGGGGACCCAAAACGAATATATCCACTCAAAACTCAAACTCGAAAATTTTGACGAAAACAATACTTTCTCCATATACTATGGTATAGGGGGAGAAAGTAAAAGAAAACACTTCGGTTATGTTTATGTTAAAGGCTCCAAAACTTTAAGTACACATTTAAGGAAAGAATTTCGATTAAACTGTATAATTTCAATAAACTATCACACAAGCAAAGAATAATGAGTGCTTACAATCAGCCTCCAAGTTGAAAATAGGACCTATATTGCTTTAGAAGGGTTTGATGGGTTTTCATGTAAAATGCATGTCCCACAGTTGCTGTTTCGTTGATTAACGGTTATTGATACTTATACTTAATTGATTTTGTTTGCCTTTCCTTAACCTCTCTTGTAAAAATAATTATTTCATGGATGTTTGTGTTATTATTAGATTAATAAACTTTTAACTAATGTTAAAATTGGTTATTAATTTATTCTCACTTTATTTTTTTATCTTACCTTAGTTTAACATTTGTAGAAAATGTACTAACAAATAAGTCCTAAATATTTTATAAGTTAAAACCTAATTTACGCATCGATTCACCAATAGTTGATTAGTAATTAAAACTGCAAATGCTAGTAGAGGAAACAAAACCTGTTTGTAACCAACTCTACACTATTTTTTTTTTACTGAAGTGTATATTACTGTTTTAAATAACAGAGATATTGTATTGATGCCTTAAAAAATTAAATAATTAAATTATTTTAATCGAGTGCTGTAATTACGTTTTTAAATTCGCCTCTTTTATTATAGTAATCTGAATAATAAAGCAGGACATTTTTGAGAATAAATAAATAAATTTAAAAGACATGTGACATTCAAGAGGTTACATAAGAGAAAAAACAAAGATGTGGATACATCTTGATTGGAATAACAAAAATAAACTACCAAATCACTATTATTACCGCATTCCATCTTCACAAATTCTCTGTTTGTTTATTTGGTATGGTTACTGTGAATTAATACTAGACTTTTACAGGAATATTAATACTAAGTGCATTAGTAAATAAATGTATATTTATATCATTTTTACCAAAGAATAAGTCATAATGTGTAGTAATTTTATTTTATTCAATTTAAAACGCAGAAAAGTTTGACGTTTCATCATTTAGTATTGTTTGTCATTTAATAATACTTCCAGTTTGATATAGTGTATACAAGGTGTTTCCTAATTGTCCGGACTTATTTTGTGAACTTGGGCTAAGA